ATTTTTTAATATATACATATATTTATTAAATAAATATAAATTAAAATTTTTATTTTAGGTTTCGGGGTTTCGGATTAGTACCTTTCCGAAACTAGTTTCGGGTAGGTTTCGTTTCGAGTCCAACTCTAGTTTAGCCGAGAAAATATAAATAACTGGTCGGTTGAAGTTCTACTATGAGTTTATAGCCGTAAGTTAAAAGAGTTATGTTAGTGTTATACAAATTTATTTTTGTATTTATAACTCCAGGGATCAATCCGGGATCAATCTGGTTTTATTAGGCCTGATCCGATCTGACGGTTCGGATCGGATGATAATCCGAATCCGACGGATTCGGATTTTCAGAACACTAATTCGACACGTATATTATATTCTAAAAAATCCAGTTAAAATAGACTTTACAAGTTTTTTCCATAATTTGTCCACTTCCAAAAGTCGCAAACCCATGCCACCAAAGAAGAATCACTTAAATTCCAGAGATTGGTTTGAGAAATGGTTAGTAGGCTTTACTGATGGGGGCTGGATCATTTGTTATAAAAGCGTTGGTTCTTAAATGATCTTATCTTTTGAGATAACACAAAGTACTCATAATTTAAGAATTCTTCATTATATCCGCCGAGGAATTGGGTGTGGTAAAATTTATTCTCATGCAAATGGATCAAAACTAAGAATAATAAATAATAAGCACTTAAAGGATCTAGTTCTTTCAATATTTAATCAGTATCCTTTACTGACTTCTAAATATTATGATTATATCAAGTTTAAGAAGGCATTAGAGATGTTAAATGACTCTCAACTGAAAAAATCAAAAATCTCTGAAGTCTTGAAAAATGGAATGAGTGATGTGGATACAATCCCTTCAGCTTGGAATGCGATCACCTACCCTTTTAAAAGTGCTGATAATGTCAAATTAGTTATGTCTAGACCTTGGCTTGTAGGGTTTGTTGAAGCTAAGGCTTCATTCTTTTTAAAAGTGGTTTTTTGTCCAGAAGGTGATTAATATCGACATATTTTCCATATTAGCTAAAAGGGTGATAAAATTGTACTTGAGGGTATTAGGTCTTTTCTTCATATAGCAACAAAGGTTCTTTATCATGAAAAGGAAAATATTTATGAAATAACTACTACAAATTTGAGAGCTATTAATAACATATCTCATTTTTTAAATTATACTTTTAAAGGAATGAAATCATTGGAATTTAGAATCTGGGCTCGTTCTATGAATTATAAAAGTAATTTGAATAAAATATCTAAAGCAGCCTGTATTCTCAAACAAAATTCAAACAAAATTTTCTTATAATAAATCTTTTTAAAAAAAGATGCCAATACTGTATATGTTTAATAATTTCAAAAGTAGTCAAGCTATCATATATATCTTGAAGTGAAATTCTGTTTGGTGAAATTTCGTACGCAAATTGTTTAGTTGAGAATGAACTATGTATATATCTTTTCCTTCATCCTTAGATACATTATTATCTTGAATTGAAGTCTTGGCTGACAAAATTTCATAAGTAGATTGTTTAATTGAGAATGAATTATGTGAATCTTTTCTTTCAACCTTGGATACATTATCACCTTTAATTGAATATATAGATGTTTCCATATTAGGCGGCGGCGTCTTGATTTTGTCAAAGTCCTCAGATATTTTTAATGAATTAGATGCTAAATATTGTGAATCTTCGATTCTTATTATATTAGTTTGTTTATTTACTGAATTACTATCATTAATTTGAACCGAAGTTTCGTTAGAAATGAGTTCGTTTAATATTTTATTGATTGAAGCTGTTTTTGGGCGTTTATCTGGGTTGCCATCCCAGCATTGCTTGTAGAGTTCGACATATTGATATGGTGTACCTTCTATCGGTTTTTCTCTTAATCCGTTATGAATATCAATACGAATATTAATAGAGTTTGTAGATTTAAATGGTGGGTTTCCACTCGAAATTTTCCATAAGATTGCTCCAAAACTTTAAACGTCAGATCTTTCGTCACGTTTGTACTGTAACGGTTGTTTTGGGAGAGCAAAGCGATTATAGACAAATAGTGCCAATTTGAACTCCAACCGATTACGGGATTGGGGTTTATATAAACGAAAGAATAGGTAATTTTATCTCAAAGTAATCAAACTGGGGAACGATAGTTAACTTAATATGATTTAAGTAAGGATAATAACTATAAAATGCATATATGAAAGTATGATGAATTAAAATAATTCGGAAATAGAATCGAAGAAGTTGATGATTGATTGATAATGATGTCAATAATAGAACTTTGAAAATGATCAATCGAACGAGGGAGAATGAATATATTCGTTATCACGGAATGATATCAACGGAAATTGATATCTAAAGCGATATTATGATCCAAAGTTGATATATGGATACTTTATACTATAATTTTTATTTTGTATCAGTTGTTTATAAAATCAGCTGATGCTGGTGATGCCAAAGGAGGTGGGGCGGTTTTACTTTTCTTCTCAAAATAATTCTTTTCTTTAGATGAAAAACACTTTCAAATGGAAATCACGTAACCAAGTTCCAAAATGTAAAGAGACCATTACACAGAAATTCCGAGTCTTAATAAGCCGTATCGAGGTTCAAGCCAATTCGGTCCGTAGAATTGAGTTACGAAGTGGTTTATTAAAGTTCAAGTCGAAATTTACAAGAGATAAGTATATACTTTATTATTTTTTTTTGTCATTAAAAGCGAATGTGGAACTTGTCCAACTTTATTAAAATTCAAGGACTTATATACATAAAATTTTCTTTAGACGTTTACGCTCTATTCAAGGCGAATTCGTTTATCTTTAAGCGTACGCGCTCTTTTTTAGGCGATTACGCTCTATTGTGAGCGATTATGCTCGTGCCGCAAGATCTACATAGTTGTGTAAGCGCATATACGCGCTTTTGAGCGTTGTAAGGGTCGAATTTGACGCAGCATAACCCGAATTTGGGCTGTGCTACTATTTTTATTTTATTTTATTTTATTATTACATAGCATTTTCCATTTTTGTATATTCTATTATTAGTGTACTGTCTGATTTCCATTTATGGTCTCCATGGAGTCCATGGACTCCATGGAATCGATGGAATCCATTTTGTCGATTTTTAGTCTGTAAAACTTTAGTATTTAAGAACCTTGAGCTCACCTTCAATAAAAGATATCTCAGTAATGAGTTTTTAATCAACACAAGTCATCTCATACATTCGTTTTTCCTAATTCCCGATAAACAAATTATCTCGTAACCACGTGATTCCGAATTGGAGCTTCATGACGTAGTCTAGAGCTCTATTTGGCCCTAATAACTCTGACCAAGTCTTTCCACACCCTCTTTCGTGCCTTTCACCATTGGGTCCATATAGAGTTTGAGAGATTTGGTAGTATTAGAGTGTTGATTGGGATTAGTTTAGTCCCCGTAGATACCCGTGAAGTCTTATTTCGACATTAGAGGTCGAATTAGCCCCTCACAATTTGGTGGTGACTGTGAGATTGAACTTCTAAACTCACATAGAACAGGAAATTTTGAACGAATCTACTAACCTAAACCCGAATTAAAGAAATATATGGAAAGGAATACTTATCTTAACGAAGAACCCCGAAATCCACGAAGGTTTAAATCACCTCAGAGACAACAAAATTTCCAAAAAGAAGCCCGATGCACCTATTGCACAATAAAAGGACATATAGTTAGCAGATGCCCACACGTGGAGATATTAGAAGAACAATGTGCTGCTCTATCCGAGGCACTGACAGATAAACAATTTACTGAATTCCAAGAGATTATCAATGAATTCTTTGGAAATAAATATATCGACGATGTACAACTTCCGCAGGCCTTGAATATTCGAAATACTAGAAGACCTTACTAATGATAGAAGCAGTGATGAAGTACCGATTCTATACTTACTTTCATATATCAAGATGTCTTCAACTCCAAAAAAACAAAATAGGCAATCCACCTGAATTCACCCAAGTCAAGAAACTGTGAACCTACAAAATGTATATAAAGCTGATACAACATCCACTATCGTTTCTGGAAGTAAAGACTCAACAAAATTAGCATATACTTCTGAAATTTGTCCTGAAAGGCTCCAGTATAAGAAAATTAGAGTCAAGAAAGACAAACCTAAAGCATTCAACTGGTATCAAAGATCAGCAGAGAAAGGAAATGCTGAAGGTTGATTTGAAAACACAAGCACCTTGCTGCAAAGATGGGTACAAAGCTAAAAGGGACGATAATAATAGCTCAAATGTGCATAATCAAACATTACATCAAAGGCAGGATACAAAGTTTGCAAATCAATCCAATTGCCAACATAGCTTTAGCACAACTAAAGGAGACTATGAGCAAAATGGACGTGGCGTTAAAAAAGAAACAGATTCATCAATAGTTGAAGAAGAAGCTAATAAAATTAAATCAGATGAAACTGTAGCTGAAAACGATGAGTATAAAGTCAGAGAGAAAGCTTTAATGGATTACCGGAAACCTCTTAAAATAAACAACATTGATGATGACGACGAGACCTGGTATACTTGTAACAATGTAATTCCAAAAGAATGGCTGGGTTCGAACGACTATAAAGAACCTGCAAAAATCGAATTGGAAGTAATGAAGAGCTTAATAAAAGAAAACGAACCTAATAATAATCAAGAGGTTGGAAAAGAGGCGTCTAACTATTACCAAGAATCAACTGCATCGAAGAATTCTAGAAGAATGCTTCAAGTTGGTTATGGTATTGAAATAAATGAACATTATCTAGCTAAAGATGAGGATAACAGAATAATGGAAAGTCTCATGAGTGACAAGAAAATGCCAAGCAGAAATAATGATGACAAAGCTCCTGTCAGTGAAAATAAATTGCGAAGCCTACCTGACAAATTAGATATATTCGATATGCCCAAAGTTGAGCAAAAAGGAAGATTAAAGAATTCTGAACTAAGCCATAGAGGAATTCTAAACATATGGGTGAAAATTACGTTCATCATTTATATGTTAGTAACAATAGGTATTATAAGGCCAGTCAAAGTATATACTAGTGAGATACGTGTTCTTAATAGCTGTTTTTTGAAAGACACCAGAGCTAGAATAGATAAATACGATGATTCAATTATTATCTAAAACCTGCAGATATGGAGAACAGTAGAAGAAAATATCAAGTTGGACACTGTTATCAATGTGAAAGTAGAGTTGAAAAGGACGATTATAAAGCATTCAATTACTATCAAAGGTTAACAGAGACAGAGTACATTAAAAGAACATTTAATGATGGATACTGTTACCAAAATGACTTTGGAGTTAGAAAAGAGAAAATGTAGTATTTACATATTATCAAAAAACGACAGGATTGAATAATTCTAACAAAATATATCAAGTTGGTTATTATAACTTCAGAATTGGCGTCAAAATCGATAAGCATAAAGCTTTTACACGTTATTTAAAGTCGGCTGAGGCAAGTAATCCCATAGGAATTTGGAAAACTGCCGTTTGTTACCTTTATAGAATTGACAATAAAAAAGGACCCATTTATCATTATAGGTTTTGTCACATTCGATATGTGAAAGATGGAAAATATGCACATTGTAATGAAAAAAACATGACCAGCATGGTGTCTATTATGTGACCCTGGCACCACAAGGTGGACAATTAGAAATAAAGATATTGATGAATGCATAAAAACGTTCCAACTTATGGCTTGGAAATCTAAAGATTCGATTCCATTAGTAGATTATCTGACGATAAAGAAATCGAATTTATCCAAGAACCAAAGAATTACTGTGGAATTGGCTACAAAATCCTTCACGCTTGAATTGTTTTGGCATGCTAAGAAATAAATATGATACAAATAGAGTTAAAAAAAAAAAAAAAAATTTTTCCAAAAGCTGAACTAGAAAAGAGAAGAACCCGAAAAACAACTATCGACAGAAAAGTTGGAACATTTTACCAAATGTGTCCATTGCGAATAAATTAGAAGCACCTGAAATACGTATACGTTAAGAGTGGCGAATTAGAAGGACGAGGCTATCAAGAATTAGCCAAAATAGACAAAACAGTCTTGGATCAGGCCAAAGAAAATCTTTAATTAACGTACGAATAATTTTGCAAGACACGAAAAAATACCTACCTCAAGAATATAGAATGTCGAAGTTAAATCTGACGTTAAAGGGATCGAAGTATAGAAAATTGAAACTCCAACTAAAGTAACAGAAGAAAAGTAACCACAAAATAATGGACATGACGAAATTAGAATATGGTAGGTCATGACTGTTATTGTGCGGGTGTGGGGCACATAACAGCAAGTGAAAATAATTGGAACAACCTGAAGAAAAGAGAAGAATTGATTAGTAAGAAGACTCGAAGAAGATTCGAAGAAGAAGCAAAGACAGAGACAAAGAAGAAATGTCCGCATTACCTGCTGGAAAAGCCCAGAGGAATGTCAAGTATCCATAACAAATCCAACACAGCATTGGATATTGTTATCAAAAGGAATTGGTATTGAAAAAGATGAACATGAAGTACCGATCAAGATAAGAAGACCTACCTGAAATAAAGAAATCCGACGGTAAATCCAATTCAGCCTAGGTAGTCGGTGGCCTAGCATAGCAAGAAGAAGTTGATGTGTTCTCGTGGGACTCGAACATAAGCTAGGGAGAGTTGTAAGGGTCGAATTTGACGCAGCATAACCCGAATTTGGGCTGTGCCACTATTTTTATTTTATTTTATTTTATTATTACGTAGTATTTTCTATTTTTGTATATTCTATTATTAGTGTACTGTCTGATTTCCATTTATGGTCGAAATCGACTCCATGGAGTCCATGGACTCTATGGAATTGATGGAATCCATTTCGTCGATTTTTAGTCTGTAAAACTTTAGTATTTAAGAGCCTTGAGCTCACCTTCAATAAAGGATATCTCAGTAATGAGTTTTTAATCAACACAAGTCATCTCATACATTCGTTTTTCCTAATTCCCAATAAATAAATTATCTCGTAACTACGTGATCCCGAATTGGAGCTTCGTGACGTAGTCTAGAGTTCTATTTGACCCTAATAACTCGGACCAAGTCTTTCCACGCCCTCTTTCGTGCCTTCCACCATTGGGTCCATATAGAGTTTGAGAGATTTGGTGGTATTAGAGTGTTGATTGGGATTAGTTTAGTCCCCGTAGATACCCGTGAAGTTTTATTTCGACATTAGGGGTCGAATTAGCCCCTCACAGCGTTCACGCGTTTACATGAGATAATCCAAATCCACCAAGCCACTATCAATTTTCTATTTAGTATAACTAATTATATATTTCCATCGGGACTACTCTACGTGGGTACTGTTATCAAAATGGAATTGGTGGGGTAAAATAAACTATATACAAGAAGAAAATAAAAATAAACTAAAATGAAATAATAAAATAAAATAAAATAAATAAAATAAAGTAGAAATAAATAAAGAAAAATGTAATAAATGAAAATGATTCGTTACAGTACCTAGGATCACAAAACATTGTGGCTATACATATGATGTCATTCCATAAAGATTTGAACTTTATGAATCTTCGTTTATATGTTTTGCTAGTCCAAAATTCGCAATTTCTGGATGTCCTTGGTGAATTAAAATATTCTTTGAATGCTATGAAATGGTATTAATTTTTAATTAATAAAAAAAGCATAAGCGTGCTAAATAATAAAATATATATTATACTTACAAGATCTCGACGAACAATATTATTAACATGCAAAAACAGGAGGCCTTGTATTATCCCTTTAGCAATATGTAATTTATTGGTCCATTGCAATGTCTTAAAATGCCTTTTCAAGTATTCCCTTAGATTCCCATCGTTAGCAAATTGTAAAACTAGACAATAAGATCCGTTGTTTTTATCTATTGATTTTTAAATAGACCTTTTTTTAATTAATGCAATATATTATTAAAACTTAAACGAAAAAAATGATATGAACCTTATGTGATTCCATGGAATGCGATAATATTTTCATGGCTGTGAACTTTATGTGATAGTTTAAGCTAAAATAGTTGCATAAGATTTATAAGATATTTTAAAAGGCAGCAAGTTTTTTAGTTTTATATGATAAATGTTACCTCCTTAATAAGCTCTTTCTTAATCTTTTTATCTGAGCTTGAATTGAAGGCCCTAAGATGTTTAAGAGCAACATTCTTTCCATTCGCCTTTAAGAACTGCTCCAAAACCTCCAGAACCAATTAGGTTAATGCATTATATTCGTAATTATTAATATGTTCCGCAGAAATAGCATCTTCAACCCATTTTTCTAAATTATTCGTCATAATTTTCTTAAAGGTTGTTATTTGTCTTAAGAATTTGGCGTGTATATATATATATGTATTGCGTTACAATATCGATACTATTAAGACAAATGAAGGCATAATGGACATGTGGCAAAATCTAGCACTCAAAACCAGGAACGTAATTTATATGCGCCATTCAAATTACGTTTTTTAGAGTACGGAGTATGACTAGCGCTAGGGTTAACATTATTAATTACGATCTATTTTAAAAACCGGTTTGGCAGCTATTTATATTGAGGTAATTTAGGTATGACCTTATTACGTCAATATGTCACCTTTAGTTATGTTAACTCAATTTTCTCGAATAAAAAATGGATCTTTGTAGCGTAGCAGAAATAATATTGAATACAAAAATAATTTTAGTATTTAAAATTTATAAAAGATTCGCTTGGTTTGCAACCATAAAAAGTTCACAATATATTAGCAGGAAAATTATTATATCCATCGAATATAAATGCTTTACGAATTTGTAAGGACATAAATTCTAGTTCAAGCGTCTTCTGTATAATGATTAAAATGAAAATTGACGAAAGATATAAACAGGTTTTTAATGACAACATCTATGAACTTGAAAGCGTTATAAATATATAAAAAGGAATGACTAGAGATTGGAACCGGGTTTAATATATGAAAGATAAAACTGGTTCAAAACTCGAGGAATGAATGTTATTAAAAAAAATATCACAAAATACGTATTAATACAAATAACATAATAATGATTTTATTTCCCTTTTTAAATTATATCTCTGCATTTAAAGCAAATAAAGTAAGTTAATATTTTTATTGTATTTTATTTAGTTACATATTTCTGCATTTTTACAATTAAAATTTAAATAAACCAGTTTTTTCGAAATTTAAATTTATATTGATAAATGTTAATATTATCGTTACTGCATTTTTTACGATTGTATTTGCAATTCAGAGATTGGCGTAACTTGTCCTGATTTTCTATATCAGATATGTATAATAAAACGTTATGACATAATTTATACTGTATTAATTGTTTAACGGCTATAAAACTTATTTGGTATTTATTTTTCAGTCCTTCCTAAATTTTCTAAATTGATTTGTACCTTCAATCATTTATTGTAGCTTTATCTTTTTTTTTTTTTTAGACAATCTTACAGAAAAGCATACGTTTTATCTTAAATTGTCTGATTATCCGAATTAAAATCAATTACAATTGCACCTTTATTTAAGTTCATAAATTTAATAATGGCGTTTAAGCTTATTATTTTAGCACATATAATATTTTAAGTTAGGCGAATACTTTCCTGTAGGGAGTGTAAGATTGCAGGGTTGATATCGGCTAATATATACTAAAATTCGACTCAATAAATTAAATAATTCAAATGAAATAAATAATTAAATAATAAATAATAAAAATAAAATATATCGATGAAATAAAATTATTCAATTTAATAAGATCTAAAAAGAAATAAACTAAAAGTTGCGTCGGATACGTCGTAGATTTTGGTAAACTCGATCTTCACAATGCTGCAATGTACGCATGATATCAACGTACTAAAAGTTAATTTAGAATTTTATCTTGATCTGTAGAAGGCTCCAGCGACAATTACTGGAACTGGATGTCCGCTAGAAGATTATAAAATTGAAGATATATTGTGATCGTGTAATCCAATTTTGATGATTTTGGTATTCTTATATTTGTCTCATTGAGTATCAAAATTATCCAGATTGGATCACGAGATATCACGTTTCGGAACTACTAACAAAAAGATTTTATACTGATTTAAAAAAGTTTTTTTTTTTATGAATATTTTGAGATCCCATGGTTGGATTTTGATAAGCGAATCTAACAATGTCAAAATCGCTAAAATTTAACTATGGGATTCGCAAAAATTGTTTTTAAATCTGTATAAAATTAATTTTATAATAGTTCAAGGATAATTTTGATTCATTTGAATCATTGCAATGAATCTAATGATGCCAAAATCATCAAAATTTGATCACAAAATCTTTAATTTTATGTTTAAAATTTACTAATATGTAAAAAAATTTTAAATATCTTCAAGTCAAACTCGCTCACTAGAAGCGCTGCTGGCTGGAACAATTTGAATGTTTAATGACTTTCTAGTCTTTCAATATGCATCACAGTACAAGCCGAAGATAAACATCAAACAAAATTATATGACGTACGAACGTATGTGCAGTACACACTTCGTGACATTTATGTACATATAACTCGAAATGGGCAGTATATTCTGAAAGAAAGAAATCGACTCGTTACACTTGAACCTAATTTGATAAATTGGCTAATCTTTTGCATCACTGTAGGAAATTTAAAATCTCAAAATTCTATGTAGAGATGATGCATAAACTAGTAACACATCGAAAATAAACTTCCTAGATTATCGATCTCAATAAGCAAAGAACAATATGTATGCAATAGCATGCTATTAAGATGACAATGACAAATTTAATTCATCTTCAATGAGTTAGTTAACCTTTATTCTATATAAAGTGATTGAAGTTTTTAGGTTTCCTACACCGTATGTATGTATAACATATTCAAAAATTTTAAAAGGCGGGTTTATAAATAAAAGACTTATACAAAAAAAAAAAAAAAAAAAAAATGGCAGTTAAGCACTTTGAAAAAGTTTCAAATAATTATATTGAACTTCTTGAAAAAGGAAATGATTTTAATGTGATTATTAAAGTTGGAAAATCTACGGGCATAAAAGAATTTAAAGCACATTCAGTCTTCTTATTTTCAGAACAAATTAGAAATAATTACAAAAGCA